ATTTCTCCTCAAAACTGAAAATGCGATGAAAGGCTGCACGTAGGACGTTGCGAGCTCTGAAGAGGATGTTAGAAACGCTGTCTTTTTAGTAAATTCATATTGGTTGTGTGCTAAGTAATGGATTTTAGCACCTTTTATAGCTGTAGACACAGCATGAAAGTCTCCTTTCATTTGTAAATACAGGCTCAAGAATTTTCATTACATTAGCAGAGGCAGAAAAAATGGAGGAAACATCCCCAGAGGATGGCTTCAGAGGAGTTGAAAACTCAGATAATGAAAGGCTGAGGTCCCCCAAAAGATAATTCTCGCTTCTGTTACTCACGAACGCTTCTTTTAATCCTTCAAGAACTAGTAGGAGGCAAATGGGTCCAAATTCTTACTCAGGCCCACCGGTGTAAATTCAGAGGTTAGAATCTAGTTTATCATCGTTTCTGGCCAGCAACCCACAGACAGTACAAGGGTGGGAACCTTATATATAGCAAATAGCCTCTCCTCAGAGAGCTGGGTAACAAATTCTGTCACCTTTGTCCTTTCCTGATTTTCTTGACCATTAATATCTGCAGATACGTTCAGTCACGTAGCTTTTGCATCCATAGTCACAGCTACAAGGTACCTGGTTGCTCGTATCACATCCCAGCTCGGGGGTTTTTGATCTCTATGTTTCCTGGGTACTGTAAGCCACAAAATTAGATGGCAACAATAGCAGAGTCCAACCGCTTCAAAGAACTGGAAAATCTTGTGGCAGCTGCTAATTAGGATTTTAAAAATCTGCAGTGCCTAAGATATTTTAGAGTGTGTTTTATGCAGAAGAATTGTTAAATGCGTTAAAATGAAAGAGATAGATTACAGGAAAATTAAATGTAGGGTTTAACGGAGAAATAATCATTTTCTATGAAAGATAATGACTCCTCTTGAGGCTAGTATCAAGATTTATTGACCCTAGAGGTTAATATTGATCAAAACCAAGGCAAACAAAATATTAGACCTTGAAGGAGAGTAATCTTGATATTGAAGTCTTGCCACTGACTGAACAGGTCAATATATCTGGGTGCCAGATTCTAAGGTTTTGAACAGGGAACGGTGGGGGATATTAAATACATCTGACATGTTCTATGTCTACACTTTTTATTCTCATCAGCAGTGGTTACTTTATAGCCATGTCCTTCTGTATATAGCATCTTGGAAAGGTTCAGGCTTCACTCACAAACCTAATTGCAAATATGATGGTGATCTTCCCCAGGTGTATCCTATAGCGTAACATAAAGCACT